CATCAACACCCCCAACTTAGACTCTCGCTTGTCCTCAAGCAACTAAACAGTCAACCTACCAAATACTAATCTATTTCCGACTGATCACAAAGCAGTAGTGATTATGGATGGTGCTGATTGTTAGCTAACAAGTATGCAACTTCTTTTATTCACCCTTCTTTGAAGACAAAGATCATTTAACAATTCGAATAATCAGTTTGTGAGCTTTGAGCCTCAAGAGCAATGACAGAGTGCTACCCATAGCTAGCTATGCACTTGTATCCTACTTCAAGAAGCCTAATTTATGCTAACTCTTGCAATTCATGCGTGCTCACATCAAAGAAAATCCCCAACTCAACAAATATGTACAGGGGATACAATCAAACACTATTTCACTCAGAAAGAAGGCTAAGCGCTACAAGTATTAGTACATATGCTTGCCCTTATTTTAACTCATTGCTATCTCGGGAATAATTATGTAGATCAAAAAAGACTTTTTAAGGGTTGTAGTGTAGACTTCAGGACTGGTTGGATGAATATTTGGGAATATAGTGACTGCACCCTTCTTGAATGCTACACACACTTTGCTTCTTTTTAAACCACATAGCCCTTATTGACCTCTAGTTACCGACATAGAACCACGTCAAAGTATCTCTTTACTTTTCACAAGACTCCACACATTGTTTTTTTTTCTTATAAATATACACATATCTTCTTTTGCTTTTCTTTTGGAGCTTGAGTATCTTCATTTAAACAACTTCGAGGTATATGCTTCTACACACAATGCACATCTTCACAATTTCCCAATTATTACCAATACCCCTAACTTAGGCTTTTAGCCTCATTCTCAACATTCAAGGAGGGACGGGTTCAGAAGAGGGAATTATTTCACAAAAGAGTACAAATTTGTAATGTGGTAGCCAAATGAAAGGTCAAAGGCTCAACGGGGGATAACTAGGATAATAAATGCACCAGGGAGGTCAATTTGGTCAAACATTGGTTAGCAATCAAAAAGAGAGCCTAATATCATTGCAACACCCAATCATCAACCTGAGATTTGCATTGAGAAACCAACCGGGCAAGTTCTAGACATTACAAGTTGAGCACATGCATTATTTACACAAATTCTCACCACTCACGATGCATGAACTGCTCAAATCGCCATAATTTCAGCCCTCGAATGAATATAAGGCAATTCAAAGTTTCATCACATGATATTTGAGATTCTAAGTAAGCACTAAGTCAAAGAGCGAGCTTCGATTTCACAAGAATGACTAACTGTTAATTTATAAAATTGGAAGGGTGCAATTTATTCAACAAAATCTTATCACATACTTGAATTTTGAACAAAAGCACCAAACAAGTCAAAACGTTATATACTACGACCATGGTTCTACTATTACACCCTTGGAAAAAGAACCCGGCAAAGAAAAACCAAGGGGAATTCATTACTATATACAAATCTACATTATTAAAATTAAGAGTTTATATACAAGTTGTAAAATTTGACTACCCCACCCCTAACCTAAGAGCATGCATTGTCCCTAATGCATTGAGAAAGTAAGAGCAAAGTTTCGGGGCTCCCTGAGGGCGCACTAGGTGCTTGGAGGGGTTAGAATATCTGAGGCGGCCGTGGGACCAGGAGCTGACGCTGTGGAGGCAGTGGGAGGATCCTCTAATTGGACAGTGGTGTCCGAGACCAAAGTAGGAAGCCCCGCCAGTTACAAAGCCGGGTCCTAGACCTGGGAGCTGCTAGCCTCACCCGATGATGGTTGTGTGGTTGTGGTGGTAACCCTGGAAATCATATATGCAAGGAAGTGTGCGATAGCTGTCTGCACATCCGCCTCCTCCTCACCCAGTTAATATTTTGAAACGACAACCTGGTTTCCTTTGTTGTCCCTCTGATCATCACCCTACTCAAATATCTCCTCCTCATCAGTTTCCTCACAAGACTCTCCAGATTCCTCATTTGAATGATCGTCGGTGTGTGCCTCGGAACCCGAAACTTGTTAGATGTCAATATCATGTGCCTCCTCAGCTGGCAGGAGGTTTGTGAAATACAAATCGAGGCTTGGTACATGGGAGGTGCCAGTGCCCTATGCTCCTTCCATTGGAAGAAGGGTGGTCAAATCAAACTCTAGCGTCTGTATCTTTTGCAGCTCTTACCTGAGCTCAACTACATCCTTTTTGAGTTGAGGAATATACCAAGCTCCACCTCGCTCAACCTTCTCAAGGCAAGCTTCAAAGTGCTTGAGTCAATCCTCATATGATAGATGTTGATTTTGAAGATCACTTACTGAGGTTTGGATCGGGGCCAATGCTTTCTTGATGAGCGATGGAAGTTCTTTTGTCAACTTGTCTACTTTGGCATTGGCATATTGTGCCAGTAGACCAAGCTTGGAGAGTGTAGGCAATGAGACAGGTGGTGTAACTGTGGCTGGTCTGGGAGTAGATGTAGAGGTAGTTGGTGTGGAAGAAGTGTCTGGCACTGATGAGGCAACATGTGCTGCTGAGGCTGACGAGGGGGGAGTGAGTGATTGCTCTAGTAGATCTTCGACCACTTTATCCGCAACATCATTGATCCGAGTGATGTCAATGTCCTAATAGCGTTTTCTATGTGGTCATGTTTGGGGAACAGAGGAACCGCCACATCTTTACACAAGGCATGGATTAAGCATTGAAAATGAAGCGAGGTTTCTTTCTGGTTTGCCTGGATCCCAATCTCAGGGAATAAAAGCTTGCCTATATCAATCTTGATACCCGACATGATGCAAGAAATGAGGATCGCCTTCTCCATACGGATGTCAGTCTCATTTCTCGAGGGCATTATACGAGAACAGACAAAACTTAGCCATTACCGACCTTCTTGGGTAAGATCTCTCTTGTGAATCCTTTATCGCGGTGCAATCTAGGGTGGAGTTCCCTTGGCTATTACAGAGGCTACTGAAGCACGCTCAGATTGCTCAGATTCCTTATTTGCAATCTTTGTGTCAAATTCTGCCATGCCTGGCTCCCATTCTTCGAAATATACATCATTGATTTATGGGGAATCACAGAGTATTTCAACTCCTCGAACTAAGACAGAGTCCAAGTACCTACGGTTTTTCTTTTGTTCTGAGTTCCTGGATGCAACATAAAATTCCCTAACAAGCGTCTCGTTGTACTCCCCCCAGAACCTTAGTGAAGAACTCCCATCCCCTCTTTTTGATTCTTTCTAGCACATAGGGGTAGCGTTCTTTTAAATCGTTCAAACTCAGCTGCTTTTCTTCGAGGATCTTTCTCTTTGTCGGGCCATCTCTGTACAGAGTCCAAGAACCGAAGATCCCAAACTTGAGATCCTCACCACTCTTTCGGCATGCTTCGGCATGGAGGTCAACTGGTGGCACAAGGTCAGTTTGTGCCTCCTTCTCTTCAGACTGGGAGGAATGCTTAGATAAATTTCTGGAGGTGTGTGTTCGCGATTGTGGGCTTATAGAAGCAGCCCATCTCTTTCCTGGAGCGGTGGGTGTTCGCGATGCTAGAGATTTCTTTGGTGCCATTCATGTCAATTAACGAGGAGTGAGTACATGATATGGCATATGTAACATATGGAAGAGAAGTCAGAGACAAAGAATGTCCTACGACCAGTTATACAATCACAGAATAACTCTACGAGCCGCAAACCATAACACAGATTACAACCATCTCTAAACAAAACAAATTATGCGGCCCGCAGAACAAATGTGCGGCTGCAGATCAATCGCGATTTGTTCTTTAGATTTAGCCTTTTTTCTGCTTCTGTCTGTGACCATTGTGCGGTCCGCAAAACATTTCTAAGGTCGCAGACTCAACCGCATATGGTCTTTTAGAAAACTTCCAAGCATACAGAATGCGATGACTCTGCGGTCCGCAAAAAGGTTATGCAGACCGTAAAGGTCATCATCTCTACTTAAAAAGGCACTCACAGGCAGCCTTTATGCACACTCAGTAGCAAATGCTCAAGTTGTGAAAGAGCATTACAAACAAATACCTAATGAAAATATACACAAATCTCCAACCCCCTACTCAAATCAGTCCCCCTAATGCTAATCCCCAAATTTGGATTTACCCAGAGTACATGGTTCCCAGAGTCAATTTTCAGTACAAGCATTCACAGTTGATTACTCATAGCAAGGAGCTGGGGAGAAAGAGGAGGGTACATGGATGAGATGGGAAATTTAGTCAAGTGAAAGCACACAACACTCTTCAAATTGACTGAGCAAGAGAAGGGTTGGAAATATACATACCAGATATCAGAAGATCCAGCAAACCACGTGGGTGTGAATCGCGAGCAAGGTAAGCCTTTCTTTTTCAATTCCTTTTTATTTTTCTCAGTGTTTTTTTTTTGTATTATGCTTCGTGCTTGGGTGTGTGATATAATAGATGATAGAAAGAAATGAGAGAGAAAGAATTAGGGTTTAATACCTGAGGGTTTCACGGTGAAAAGGACATCACATAACATATTATGCGACCGCATATGTGTTGTGCGATGGGTTAGTAACTGAGTGGTGGGCAACATATTTGCGATCTACTCTGCGGTCGCTTAATCATTATGCAGCCTGCATAAAGTGAATTCTCACTGTATTTTTAAGGCCCAGTTTGCATGTTGTTCTGCTTGCGTCTGCGACCATTATGCAGTCCGCAAACCTTTTATGTGGCCACATATGTTGCCGTAGAACACAGCTGAATCCCGGCTTGCTTTCCTTCATTTTCCCTCTGCCTTTGCATCCTATTTATTTGTATTTGGTGTAACCTGCATTCTAACACACACGTAAAATTATTCAACAGTTACAAATAAACCTACCTAAATTATAATCTAACCAAAAAAACTGTTACCAACACATGGGTTGCCTTCCAAGAAGCGCTTGATTTAACGTTACGGCACGGTGATGTTGCCTCCATTTTGGCTAACCAGTGGTGGGGATAGGCAAAGGACCATCCTTGAGTGAGAATTATTCTACCAGTTGCCTTTCTCCAATGGTTCCGAGGTAATGCTTGACCCATTAGCCATTTACTTTGAAAGTTCGAGTCCCGTCCTCGGATTCTAATTCAATAGCACCATAGGAAGATACATTCACAACTTTGAACGGGCAAGACCATTTGGATTTGAGTTTGCTTGAAAAGAACTTCAATATTGACTTGAAGAGTAAGACTAAGTCACCAGATTTGAATTCCTGCTTCAAAATCTTCTTGTCCTGAATAAACTTCATTCTTTCTTTATACATGGTTGCATTCTCATAGGCATGAAAATGGAACTCTTCCACCTCGTTGAGTTGTAGCATCCTTAGATTAGCAACTTTGACCCAGTCAAGATATAACTTTTTCAATGCCCACATGGCTTTGTGTTCAAGCTCCACTGGCAAGTGACATGCCTTACCAAAAACCAACCAGTATGGTAAGGTGCCAATGGGAGTCTTAAGTGTTGTTCAATAAGCCCGCAATGCATCATCTATCTTTTTTGACCAGTCGGTTCTGTTTACATTAATAAGTTTTGCTAGAATATTTTTGATCTCCTGGTTGGAGACTTCAACTTGACCCCTCGACTGAGGATGATAAGTGGTGGACACCTTGTGCTTTACCTCATATTTTTTGAGCAACCCGACAAAAGCTTTGTTGCAAAAGTGAGAACCACCATCACTAAGGATGGACCTTGGGGTTCCAAACCGAGTAAATATGTTCTTCTTCAAGAAGGCGGTTACACTCTTTACCTCATTATTTGGCAAGGCAATTTCGTCCACCCATTTGGAGACATAATCTACTGCCACCAAGATATATGTCATGCTGTAAGAGCTTACAAAGGGACCCATGAAATCTATCCCCCACACATCAAAGATCTCGACCTCCATCAAACATTTTATAGGCATCTCATGCCTTCTAGAAATTGACCCATGTCTTCGACATTGATCACATGCCTCGATTATTTGGTTTGCATCTTGATAGATCGATGGCCAATAATAGCCACATTCAAGCACTTTTTCCGCAGTACGATTTTTGCCATGGTGGCCCTCAACTGGGGAGTCATGACATGCTTTGAGAATTTGAATTTTCTCATCTTTCGGAACACAACGCCGAATGATGTTGTCAGTGCAAATCCGGAAAAAAGGGTTCCTCCTAATAGTATTGCCTACACTCTCGTAAGAACTTTTTCTGTTGATAAGATTCTAATCCGTCGGGGATAAAGTCACTAACCAAGAAGTTAGCGATATCGGCATACCAAGGAGTGAAGGTGCTAGATATTGCCAATAAGTGTTCATCTGGGAAGGCATCATTAATTTCAAGATCTTCTTTTGGTCTCCCTGCCTCTTCAAGCCTGGATAAGTGATCCGCAACTTGATTCTCTGTTCCTTTCCAATCTTTGACTTCAAAGTCAAACTCTTGTAACAAAAGAACCCACCTAATCAATCTTGGTTTAACATCCTTCTTCTTCATAAGGTATCGGAGAGTATCATGATCGGTGTAGACTATCACTTTGGATCCCATCAAATAGGTCCAGGATGTTTCAAAAGCATAGTCAATAACAAGCAGTTCTTGCTCAGTTACAGTGTAATTTATTTGTGCGCCATTGAGTGTCTTTCTTGCATAGTAGACATGATGAAGAATCTTGTTATGCCATTGACCAATTATTACTCCAATAGCGACACCACGGGTGTCACACATGAGTTTAAATGGAAGAGACCAATCGGGTGTGACAATAATAGGTTCTGTGGTGAGCCTTGCTTTCAATTCCTCAAAAGCTTTGAAGCATTTCTCATCGAACTCAAACTTAAAATCCTTTTCAAGGAGCTTGCACATGGGACTTGCAATTTTTGAGAAGTCCTTGATAAATCGCCTATAAAAACCGGCATGCCCCAAAAATCTCCGAACGCCTTTTACCGAAATGGGAGGAGGAAGCTTGGAAATGATCCTGTTCTTTGCCCAATCAAACTCTATGCCTTTCTTGGAAATTTTGTGGCCAAGAACAATACCCTAATCCACAATGAAGTGACATTTTTTCCAATTGAGCACAAGGTTTGTTTCCTCACATCTTTTGGCAATTCTCAAAGGAATCACCAACTACAGAGAAGTCATCCATGAATACCTCTAAGAAATCCTCCACCATGTCTGAGAAGATTGACATCATGCATCGTTGAAAAGTAGCCGGGGCATTGCATAGCCCAAATGGAATCCGGCTAAAGGTAAAGGTCTCATACAGACATGTGGATGTCGTCTTCTCTTGGTCCTCTAAGGCGATGTTGATTTGGTTGTAGCCGGAATAGCCATCCAAGAAGAAATAAAATGACCTTCCCGCTAGCCGATCAAACATTTGATCAATAAAATGCATAGGGAAATGGTCTTTGCAAGTAGAACTATTGAGCTTCGGGTAGTCTATGCAAACTCTCCACCCGGTCACCGTCCTCGTTGGGATGAGTTCATTTTTATCATTTGAATCACGGTCATGCCTCTTTTCTTTGGAACACATTGCACCGGACTCACCCAAGGACTATCGACAATGGGGTAGACAACCCCGACATCCAACCATTTTATGATTTCTTTCTTCACCACCTCTTGCATGGAAGGATTTAACCTTCTTTGATGCTCCACGCTAGGTTTGCTCTCTTGCTCCAATTATATCTTGTGCTCACAAATTCTGGCGTGAATCTCTTGGATACCCGCTATAGTCCAACCAATGGACTGTCTGTGGTCCCTCAAGGTATTCAATAAGTGTTCAACCTGCACATCATTCAACAAAGAAGAAACAATTACAGGTAGAGTTTTATTAGAGCCAAAAAATTTATACCTTAAGTGCAGCGAGAGTGGCTTGAGCTCAAGTTGTTGGCGGTTCCATAATGGAAGGCTTAGCAGGAGGGGTAACTCTATTCTCTAAGTCAAGAGAAAGCTTCTTTGGTGCATAAGTGTAGGACCCAAGCCCTTCCAATGCATTCACCGATTCCATGTATCCTTCCATGTCTTCACCATCAAAATTCACCAAAATAGCCGTCAATGTCTCACCAAGGCATACTCTTCCATCTTCACCTCTACTACATCCTCTATCTCATCAACAACATCAATGACTGAGATACTTTCATATGCATGTGGCAATTTCATACCTTTACCTGCTTGAAAGGTAACTTCTTAGTCATTAACTCGGAACTTGATATCATTTCGTTTCGAGCCCATGAGTGCCCTCCCGGTAGCAAGGAATGGTCTCCCCAAGATGATAGGGATCTCTTTATCAACAACACAATTGAGAATAACAAAGTCAGCGGGGATGAGAAACTTTCCCACTTTTACAAGCACATTATCAACTATTCCCACCGGTCACTTTATTGAACGGTCGGCCATTTCCAACCTCATTATTGTAGGCCTAGGCATACATAATCCTTCTTGCTTATAAATAGTAAAGGGCATTAAGATGCTATCCCCATTATCGCAAAGGGCTCATGCAAAATTGCGCAATCCAATGGTGCATGGAATGGTGAAGACTCCCGGGTCCTCTTTCTTTTGGATGGCGGTTATTTCAATGATGGAACTAACCCGGTGAGTAACATTCACCACTTCATTGTTGGTGATTTTATATTTAGTGATCAAGCCTTTCAAGTACTTAACAAAACCCGGCATCTCTTGAAATGCTTCCACAAATGGAATGTTCACCGATAATTGCTTGAGGATGTCATAGAACTTCTTGAGTTTTCTATCATCAACCTTATTAGAAAGTCTTTGAGGGAAAGGAAGAGGATGTCTAGGAATTGGTGCTAGAGTTTTTGGTGCCTCTATTACCTTTTCCTTAACCTCTTCATGGTTCACTTCTTGAGTTCTTCTCACCTTCTTCGGGAGTCTTTCAACTTCAACAACAATTGGCACCTCAACTTGTGCCTCGACTTCTTGTTCAGAATCTTCCACTTTGACCACTTGTTTATTCTCTCATTGAAGTAGTTTCCCACTTCGAGTTGTGATTGTCATACAATGAGAAGTTGGACCACTCCCACTACCTTTTGTGTTTGCAATTGTATCATTAGGAGCGTGCCTTTTTGCTTCGGATTTTGTTCTCTTGAGAGATCTCTCATTTACATCTCCAACTTTTGAATAGATGCGGTGTGAGAACCCACAAGCTCGGTTATATTCTTCATTGAAGTGTCAGATCTCTCTTGATTTTGCAATACTCGTTCAAGCATGTTTTGCATCTTGGACTCACTTGAAGAACTTTCCTTCCAATTCGGAGAGTTAAAATATTGCCTCTTTGGTGGAACATAGGGGTTTGAACTCCGATTTGAAAAATTATTGTTTTTATGACTCCAATTTCCTTGATTTTAACTACCTTGGTCGTTTCGTCACTGTTGGTTGCCTTGCCCTTGCGGGTTAGACCTCCATTGGTGTTGTTGTCCTGAACCTTGGTAGGGTTTTCTTTGATATCCTCCTTGAGAATTGTTGACATAATTGGCTTCTTCGTAATCCTCATTTGACATGGGTTGCATATCTTCCACAACATTCACCTTTTTTGTTTGTCTTTCAGTGAACATTTTTGTCAACACGTTGACATTGCTGGCAAGCCCGGCAATTACTTGATCTCTTTCTTGGTTCTCCTTAATCATGTTGGTTAAGGATACCACATTCAATTTCACCCGTGGTGTCTTCCCAGTGCCAAGCTTGGTTATGTTCTGCCATCTTGTCGTGTGACCCCTGCAAATATTTTATCCATAAAGGATCCATCCGCTGCATATTTGGCTATGGATTGGTTCATAGGATCCAAGCCCATGTAAAACTTCTCGAATAAAATATTATCCGGAAAGCCATGATTCGGTGACCTCACCAAGTATAAGTTGAATCTATTCCATGCCTCATGTAGATGCTCTCCTGGTAGTTGCTTGAAGAAGAAAATTTTATCCCGAAGCTCAGACTTCTTGCTTTGCGGAAACCATTTTGCTAGGAAAGCTCGGACACGTTCGGGCCAAGTATGGATGAAATTAGGAGGTAGTTTTTGGATCCACTGTCTTGCCTCTCCAGTTAGAGAGTACTTGAACACCCTCAACCTTAGGGCATCACCTGAGACGTGATTCTGCTTGTGCATGGTGCACACACCAAAACATTTCTGAGATGTTGCGTCGGATTATCGTCTGTGGAATTTCGGAAGAACCCCTCTGCCTTTAGCATTAGGATTATACCGTGTTCCACTTGGAAGGTGGCAACATCAACTCTTGGAGGGGAAATGGCATTTGTATCCTCAATATACTCATCTATATCCGCAAAAATATTCTCTTCTTCCGGCTCGCCCATGTTTTCCTAATGACACAAAGTAAAGAAAGCAAACTGTGATGGAATAGAAGAAACCGTAAAGTAAAGAACACACTAATTAGTAATT